AATCTACCAGAACACAAATAATTAATATTGAACCAGAATTTCATAGCAACTACAAAATTATCACACTTATACTATTTAACTTTCTAATAACAAAAACTATCAAAAAAACATCTACTATCCACTTCAACTTTAACAAAGTCACAACAGAAAAATGGGAAAAAATAAATATAACCATTGATAATAACCTAAAGCTACTTTTCAAAGAACTAAATATCCAAGAAATCTAGAAATTCTTCAATTTAACCATAACTAAAACTTTAAATAAACTAGTTCCAAAAACAAAAACTTGCAAAAATATATTACAAATCTTCAGCTAAAAAGATACCATCCTCCATAAAAAACTACAAACTATCGAATTTCATATATGCAACCTTACATTATAATCTCCTAAACTACTTGATTAATCCATACTAAAAGATCTAAAAAAACTCAATCTTTTTCATACTAACAAAAATGACCAAATCAACTCTCTTAAAAAACTATTTAAAATTATTTATAAATCTCTTAGAACCAAAAATAACTTACAAAGGAAAGAGACAATCAACAAATTATAAACCAATAAATAATGAATCTTCAAGACAAACTAAAAATAATAATAAAACAAACACTTAATTACAAAAACCCTTACATATCCTTTACAAAAATTATTGACTCCACTAATGATAAAGTAATTATTAACACATCTCAAATCTATCAAATAATCACAAATCACTATAAAAATGTATTTTGTAAATAAAATATCAACAATAAACTTCTTCACAAATGGGAAAAATATTATTTTCTACTTAACAATATCAAATCTTCAATAAGTCATATATTTTTTCATTAAACAAACTCAAAAAACACTTACCTCTTATCTTTATACAATTTTCAATCCAATACTATCTATACAAAAAATTTCAACAGATTGAAAAAATTATCATATTTTTTTCATCAGTAAAAAATTATAATGGAAATATAATATCACTAAAACAAAACCCATAGCACTAATCAATTCCTTCAAGAAAATACCTATCAAAATTTTAACAAAAAAATTTAGCCATATTCTAATAACCTACAATATTTTCCAAAAAGCAAACTTCATAGATCTTCCTAATCAAAGCATCTTTGAACTAATTCAAATTTTCAATTCAATCTATAACATCCACAAACTCACACAAAAAGAACTATAGATTTTTTTTCTTGACATCAGTGCAGCCTTTGACTCAGTAAATTTGAATATATTCAAACGATCAATGCAACATCTTCAAATACCAAACTCTTTCATCTCCCTAACCAATAACATCTTTACAAACTATATATGCCAAATAATTACAGACTCAAGCCTTATATAACAAATCATTATTCTTGATAAAATCGATCAAATAAAAACACTTTTACTTCTTTAGTGAATAATCTTCTATGACCTTCTAATCACTGCTCTAATCTAACAACTATCACAACTCAAACACAATACTATTACATACATGAATGATCTTAATCTGCTTGCAAACTTAAAAACTGAAATTAAAAACAACTTAAACATAGCAACAGAATTCTTCAAACTTAATAACATCAAGGTCAACCCTACCAAAACCAAACTAATTATACTAAATAGCAAAATATCAGACAAAAAAATCTTTCAAGAAACAATCTCTATCTCTCCAGCCTTCAAAAAAGAACCAATTAGAATCCTAGGTATTTCGCTTTCTGAACACAGCATTCTCATATTCAACTATAACAAAATTTTTGAAGATATTAAATCAATCACCCAATCCCTTAACTTGAAATTTACAACAGGCTACATGGCAGCATACATCTATAACAAAGTGCTTATCTCACAATCGAAATCAAATTACAAACAATCTTCCTTGTATCAAACATGCTATACAAAACATAAAGAAAAATCAACTCAATAATTAAGCACAAATTTAACATTGAAAAAACACTTCTACAATTATGATTCTACAACCCACACATTTTTAATATCAGATTTACAATTAGAAGTTTTAATATCTAATCTCCAATATGTACTATCAAACCCTACTATCAAGTCAAACAAAAAATTAGAAATTAATGCAATACAAATACAAAACTGCCAACCCCTCTATATCTTCAAAAACTATCAAACTATCAAACATAACATAACAACCTATTCAATACATCTTGCCAAACACTACAATATTACATTCTGCTCTGAATCAAACTATTATCACAAAATCCCAGAAGGAAATACACCTATTTATCAACTTTTATCACACTATAAAAATTGGTCAACATTTGCAAACCAACTCTCCAAAAAAAATATCTTCTACATTTAACAACTACTCATATACAATAACAACAACCTAACAGACTGGCAACATATTTCTGCCAGATTTGGATTTAACATCCATGACAAAATACCTTTTTGGTATAAATTACTATCACAACAACAATATCAACAAACTGGCACTAATCCAATCTAATCAAACAAAAAAAGAAAATGAATTACAACTCTCATAAATAGCAAAATAATAATAAGAAAAAAACAAAAAACAAATGCAAACAATCTTCTTATCAACTACTGGTCCTATAACAATCATAATTCTAACAAATCAATAATACTCTCAAATGCAAAGGTTGCCCCTACAACATTCACACAAACTCTCATAAATGTCTCCTAATCCTTCTAAACTCACTAAACTTATTTATCAAAAAACAATCTAACAATACAATCAAAAAAAAAGAAACAAAAAATGATTTCTTTAATTCACTTCATGCAGACCCATCTCTTAATAACCCTCAAATTATAATTGATTCAGATCTTCACAAATCACTAATCCAAAAATACATCTCAACGACATCACAATCAGCAATCAATTCTCTTCCTAAATATGATAACTCTCCACTTAAAATTCTTCTAATATACAAATATCAATTCAAAATAACAACTATTATCTAAAACTTCATCCAATATTATAAATCTTCACAATCAAATTCAACTACAATTCTCTTCTCTCCCTGCTACATATAATAATGATTATTCTTCTCTTTAATAATTTCAAAAACTATATCTTCTTTTCAAAACACTCAAAATTAAAAAAAATATTTTCACTTTACCCTCTACTCATCACAGGAAAAAATACAAAATTCTATATTTCAATACAATTTCAAACATTCACAATATTCTTTAAATCCTTCAAATTTTTTATACCTTCTATAAACCTACCTCCTCTATATTACAAACTCAATTACAAATATCCAAATTTCATAAATAAAACATAATCAATTCACTTCCAGTATCATATACCCTCAAAAATTCAAATGATATACTCATTTTACCAACAAAACAATATCTTAAACAAATAAACAAAACTATTTGCTCTATAGAAATAATATTCTCTCAAAGAGCACAACAAATCTTCAAATCAGATTTTTTTATTGTTTCTCAATGCCCTGACTTTCTTAAAAAATACATCTATCCCAACTATACAAAACTAATTCAAAATATATAATTTTCACCTCAAAATACTCCTCAACACACTTCCAATTAAATTCCATCTCCATATCACTTTGCCAAATACAGTCAAATCTGGATATAATGAACTTGTTTATAATGAAGCTATAATAAAATATTGGTTATAATGAATTTTTGAATTTTGAATTTTCTCAAAATCTATTATAAAATGAGAATTTTATTATATAAATTTTTAAAAATTCTTTATACTGAATTTTTAAACAATTTTTTTCAAATTTTACTAATTAGTCCAAAGGTTTTATTATATTCAGGTTTGATTAAATATATATAAATGACATCTGTTCCCACTGCAACATCCATACAGAAACCATTCACCATCTCTGGCTGTGCAATCAAGCCCTACCAACAATCAAAAAAATTTTAAACAATACTCAAATACTTCTTAACAAAAAATTCAAAAACAACAAAAACTTCAACTCTGATCAAATTTTACCAACTATCAACTCTGAAATTCACTTAATTTACTTTGCAATAGGCACACTTCAATTTAAAAATATTTTCAACAATTTAAAACCAAACCAACAGGACCTAAAAACTCTAAACCAAATTCAAATTAAAACTTTCAAACTTATCTACCAATATATATGAATTCCAAGAAACAAAGATATAATTGAGAAGAAAAAATTCCTCAATATTTCACAAAATATCAAATATAGAAAAAACAATAATAACAATAACAATAACTTACAATATCAACAAAACCTAACTACCAATTTGATAAACAACAACAAACTAATTTAACAAACTGAACTTACCAATATAATACTCAAACTTTTTTCTCAAAATCTGATTATATTCTTTCAAAACAGATTAAATTATTAAGGAGGCATTATCTCTCCAAAATTAGATAGTTACTTTCTTTTTCCTTGCTCAAAGGTTTTTTACTAGAAATATATCTAATATGGTGATAGGCTAATATATTGTTATTGGTATACAGTGAATCTGTTACTAATCTGGACTAGGTCGTTGTATAATGATAGATATATAGGGGCTTGTGTCACTTGCTAACCAGAGGCACTTGTTAATAAACTCTCTTTTCTCTAGTTACCAATCTAATCCTCTACCACAATCCTTTATAGGCTTCTAGGATTTCTATAGTGGCTAATATCTAATTAAAACAAGTTTATTAATTATAGTGACACAATTACAAGTATTACAAGTTTATCCAATATCAATGTTTACTTCCTATTTTAACTAGCTAAACCCTCCCTATTTATACCTGCTGCGACATGTTCACTAATCTACTATTGCATCCTGCAAATTCCCAATTAGATTATTTAAGCTTCTTGATGCTGAGTCCAATGGATTGCACTATGTTATGTGACAAATGTCAATTCTAGCGACCCATATATTTTTCCTTGCTAACACTTTTCCCACGCTTATTTTATATACTCCTGCACATATCATTATTCCACATCATCAGTTCAGAATATCAATTTAGGATTGTTTGGAATTTTAGGTTATTCATTTCGGTCACTAGCTGATGTTTGCTTGTCATTACTTGTGGTGATGGAGTATTGGATGGTTGGATAATACTGATTGGATTAGCAGTGCAGTTAATTTGTTGTTTCATACTTGCTGGTCTTGATTCGATATTGCATTCTCTGACTTCTCGTCCTTTATCATGTGATGTATCAGAGTTCCCACGATTAGAATGGGTTATTTGTTTGCTTGCTCCTAGGTCTTTATTGTAATTGTTGATATGAAACTGGCACGCTATTCCATTTATAACTTCTATATCCAATCTCTCGTAAACTATGTCATCCTTCATTGCTCTCATTAATGTTAATCCATGTGTCATACTAGTTTCTGTTTCACAGTTTCAATTGTTTTTACTAGAGTTTTGCAGTATATCACGTGATGTATCAAAGCCTCAGAGCACATTTATAGCATGTTGCTCTGTGGGCCTGTTTAACTTCATATTTCTTTTAATCAGTTCAGTTCTAGTAGTGTTAGTAATTACACATACACTATTATCAATCAGGATTATGGCATTTACTCTCAATCTTATTCCCATGGAGTTTAGTCTCAACATCATCAATTTTTCTGGATTCTTGCATCAGTGTGGGATCATCAGCTATTGGCATTTCACAGGTGGGTTGTAGAGTCTAATGGTTGTCAGTGCGCATGATTATTTCTTTTTGATTGTGATTGCTATTGTTTTGTTGTTCGGGGTATCTCTATTGCTGTTACAGGTATATCACATCAATTTTTCATACTCAGGTTTCAGGATGATATTCTTGGTCACATTTGTGCGAAGTTCTTTTACTAGATCCTTTGTCCAATTCATCTTACAAATTATTATCATCGCGCAACATGCTAATTTTGTAAAGACCTTGGAGTGCACCTTTATCCGCTTTCTTTTTAACTTGCAGCCAAGTGTGTTTATTAATTGCTGACCTGGTATCGTGATGCTATGTAGCCTGAACGTCTCGTCACCTGGTGTGTGCATTTTCCATATAATTACTGAAATTATCTTTCCCTTCACAATCCTTTCTCTCATATCCTGACCATTCTTGTGCAGCTTTTGTTCTATCGGGGCGTTATATTCAGTATTGACTATTCGTCATGTTATCTCAGAGCTCCCTATCCCTTGGATTATTCTTGTATAAGTATCCTGATCTTGTCTTGCTATTTGTTCTTTTCCCAAGTCATCATTGGCTTTTATTTCCTTTCACACGATTTGATTTCCATCA